GCAAGACACTAAACAAATGTCAGGGTGTTCTACTCGTTTGGCGGAAGGCGATTTGTCTTCTTGTCGGTCAATTCAGTTTGATGCCAGGAGAAGAGAGAAAAATGACTTTACATTTCAGCTGATTGAATTCACACTCAAAGTGAGGGATGTGTTTGGGGATAGATTGTCGTAGGGCTGCACAATATATATTGTTTCGAGATAGGTAACACGATGTGCAAAAGTCACATGGATGATGTCGACCAAAAACTTTGATGTCATCTTGGAAAACTTCCTTCTTTCTTTTTCATACGCCAGGGGTGTCCAAACTACGGCCTGCGGTCCATTTTGAATCGGCCCTCAGCAAATTGAAAAAGTATAATGGAATATGGCCCACAAATGAAACTTGTGCTTGTCTTATATTGTACTTCTTAAATATAAATGTAAACATATATTACACAGTAGTATTCATGTGTTAATAAGACCACTTTTCAAATATATTCAGTCAATTCAAGTTGGAAAAACGTTCTAACATATCTTAGTTGATAAGAAAAAAGCCCAATTACATAACAAACTTGAAATACACCCTTCATATTTCTCCTTATTATAATCAATCTGAGGCTTCTGTTTTAAGGGATGAGCTGCCAACACTCACAAGAATCATTTACCTACATTTGATTGATTTTGCTAACTTATAACTGAACTTAGGCAATATACGTGAGTGACCCAGTATATTTTTCTGTATGTGGCCCTCGGTGAAAAAGGTTTGGACACCCCAGTCATACGGCAATATTTTCTCTCAATATCGTGCAGACATACTTTGTAGTGATGTGATACAGCAGTAGTTGTACCTTGATGTACTTGAGAAGTTTTCTCAAGCCTTGAGGCACAACAGCGAGCCAGGACACACCACAGATAGGCCAGGACGGGTCCAAAACTTCTCCTGCGTCTCGGTCGCTCTTCATACACAGCTTCTCTCCACAACCTCCTCCCTGCTTCACTTTACGAGACGTGTAGTAATTCAGCGCAAAGAAGTCTGCTGTGCCCAGAATGGCTGGCTCATCCTTGGAAAAACTGGGCAGTCTCGAGCTGCAGCCCGACTTCTCACTCTGAGCGTCGATAGCTGATCTCATTACTTCTGGATAATCTCCTGTTACAAACACAGGCCAGGCAAACCACCCGAGTGTGAAGGCGAGGAGGCGTTCAGTAGCAGCGATATCCTCGGCGCATCCTGCGTTCAGAGGCTCCAGCCAGTCGCTGTTGATGGCCAGAGACACGGCGCCCTTCTGCTGCGCCCTGTACAGAGAGTCGTAGCTGTGCCAGGCCATGGCGTGGGCTCGCAGCATGTTGTGGCCCACCAGGTAGGCGGCAGTCCCCGGCTCCTTTAACCCCGGGGCGTGGGTGCCGTCCTCGTGGCCCAGTTTGGCACACACGTAGGGCTCGTTGATGGTGATCCAAAGTTTGACTCGGCCACCAAATGTGTGGAAGCAGAACTTGGCGTAGCTGTCGAACAGGGTCGCGGTACCTGCTGATTTCCAGCCGCCCTGATCCTGCAGAGCCTGAGGCAGGTCGAAGTGGTAAAGTGTGACCATGGGGGATACATTGCAGGCCAGCAAATCATCAATCACCTTGTTGTAGTACTCCACCCCTGTTGGACACACAGGAAAAACTCACTGTTTCAATGCTTTTTGTACATCTGGAGTGGAAACCATGACATTTTGTAAACATATGATTCAAAAGGACATTCAAATTTGGTTCCTCTTCCTACGTCACATGCAGGCTTGGTAGAATAAGAGTATCTCAACCTACGATTACCTTTGCAATTCTTCTCAGAAGCCAATCAGAGCAGATTGGGTTATTTTAGGGAGCCTTAAAGGAACAGGCGCTAAAACTGAGCGTTTCAGACTGAGGTTGCATATAGGTATATATTACGAGGAAAACTAACGTGTTTCTTTAACATTAAAAGCATATAAACGTGTTCTAGTAGAAACTCAAAAGAGAATTTGAACTTGAAAATTAGCAATATATGTCTCCTTTAAATCAGTCATCAAAACGTTGGTATCCCAGTATACATCTGGGACAAAACATAAAACTTGCTAAAGTCAGTTTTAAAACTCGACCAGACCAACTCTTGCAATATTGCAATGTCATAATAATGCAAAATGTTCAATGTAAATAAAAATGTTGAAATTGAGAAGTTTGGATTATTTATCAAAGCCTAAAACACATTTCTGTCATAACAAAGAGAGGAAAAGACCCTACCCTAGTGATGAGGTAACGCAGCACTGAAACCCTCAAATAAGCTGGTTCATTTGTGCTGTTTTGAATAGAAATATGGCATGGGTCTAATGGGGATATGGAAATACCCTTTTGATTGACGTGTCGTGTGTTCCCGTCAGGCAGGAGGCGGGCCCAGGAGAGAGACAGACGGTAATGTGTCAGTCCGAGCGTCTGGATGCACTTCAGGTCCTCGTTCCACAGCTCGTAGCTCCTGCAGGCCTCATCTCCATTTTGCTCCCCAAACACTCGGCCCCCCTCGTGAGCAAACGTGTCCCAGATACTCGCCCCCTTACCGTCTGCCCGCCAGCCACCTCCATGCACACAGAAATTCATTTTCAAAACAGTTTGTCTGATGTTGACAAAAACGAAATCCCAGAAATGTTTCTGTTGGGACTTCAACTGTGTGTATCTGTGGATTTCACTGGCTTGTCTATATTAGTATTCATTATTTAAATGTCAATGTAATGTTCCTTTTGTTACAGTCATCATGGTCTGTAGATGTCAGTTAGTGTGTTTACACGTGTGTTTCAAGTTTGTCCATTGATTCTATACAGTATGAGTTGGTCAGACATCACAATGGTGAAGGTGTGTCACAATTGAACGTCACATGACAATTTAAAATACAATATGCATACAACCTCAGAACAATGGACTTTGTGTGATGTGTGGAAACAATAATGTATTAACCCTGGTCTGGTGGACCCGCTGCCTTTTTGGGCTTCAATTCAACACAATCAAACTATTTTATGTTCAAATACTCAACAGATGTTTACTTCATCTCAATCACAAGCAATATAAACAGCCTATATGGTTAATATTTTACCTTTTACATTTGTTAGATCACATTAATGAATTAAAGTGCTACTCGTTTTTTTGCCCACTGACCGGCTGGTCCTGTGGCTCGTCTTTTTTTTGTAACTAGCTGATGCTCAATCTCATCCTCTCCGGGTACATTGGGTGGTCATTGAAAATGTGTTCTGACATATGTTCACAGAAAATGAGCCAAGGCCATTGAGTGTGGGTTTGAAAAAATTATTCATCATATCATTTTTCTTTAGCTAAATAATGAAAAGACCCGAATACCATACAAGGGTTAAGTTAGTTATTATCATAATGTTCAGTTTGTGGTAACTGTTAAAATCCTTGTTTGATATTGGATTGTAATTTGTTAGTAAAGTTGTTCTTGACTTATTGAATTGGATTTTGCATCACTAATTGTCCAGCAATGATTTGATAAAGTGTATTTATAAAAAAATAAAAAAGTTCTGGTCCCAATGACTATTTGAACTCTTTAAGTCTTTTTTGTAAGTCTATTCATTGTATTAAACTGCACAAGTGTTAGTCATAATAATAGCTTCACGAATCTCATGGTAGTGTTTACATACCTTCAATTTGATACGCAGCAGTTCCCGCTCCCCACGCAAAGTCTCGTGGGAACATGTTCCATCAGCGTAAGGACACTGAATCAAAGCAGGTCTAATGTATTTCACTGCGTTTTATTGAATGTATATGAATGTCGAAGATATCTTACTTTTAAACAGGTAGTTTTCGCGCAGTATGTGTCAAAGCGGCCGACCAGGAAGCAATCCGCTATGTGACGTTCATGGAGCGTGGGGATTATCACGTACTTGATTTACACGTCAAGGTAAACCAAACACACACAAATACTGTGTTGTTCTTTCTCTTTGATTTGTTTTTTTGGATTACTTGATTAAGGTTGTTAAATAATTAGTCAATAGGTACTGTCTTGAGTATTTATATTTATTATGTTTCATTACTGCGGGATGTACCAACTCGGAGGAAAACGTGAACGCAGCACCTGAGGCTTGTTTTGCATGCATGATGAGATTTGCATGCAAAAAGCTACTGCAAAGTACAGTTAAAAAACAATATATTATCAATTATTATTATTATTATTATATAATTATATAATGTACAAATTAGCTACATAGAAACAGAATATAAAATAACATATAACATATTTGTTTTAAGATTTTTCAAGAGTCCACATTTATTCATGTCCATTATGTGAAGTGCAGTGATAAGTGTAAAAGTATGTTTAGGATTCATGACAGCCGTTGATGGGGTGTGATGATGTGTCAGATTCAGAGTCAGTCAGATGGAAATAATTTATTAGTTTTAAATGATTGAGTAGGATCCACTGCATAACAACATGGTGACGTCTTCTATGCAGACATAAAAAGGTTAGAGGTCGCTCAAAGGTTGTCTTCCTGAAAACAAATAGACTAGGAGGTGAAAGCATAATGGCCTAAAGGCATATGTTCTCTGTCCTGTGATCACTTCAATGCTATCCTCTGGTCCAGTTTTCTATAGAGTGAAGGGACCCACTCGACCTGATCACAACAAAGAAAATGGATGTTAGCCAAAGGGCAAACAAATCCTCGCCTGCTAAATATCCTCCTCATATAACTACACAAACACACAATTGGATTTTTGTTATTTAATCTTTCACTGCTATTGTGTGTACAGCAAACAAGACTGCACTTGTTCAGAGGCAAACACAGGAGAAGGCCAAGGGAAGTATTCAGATACATTACTTTGTTGAACATAGCTAAACAACAGTGTTTAAGTAGTCAATGTTATCCAAGTATACAGAAGTAATGATCTTAAACAAAATATATTGTATGAAAAAAGTATTTTGGGACATTTGTATTCATATTCATATAAGCAGCATTCTACTGTCTCTAATGGTTGTTTACCTTATTTTGAAGTATGGTATGAGCATTGAAATATCGGCTTTATTTCTATCGTCGTTGATTTTGTATAATAAATCTTATGTGAATACTTCTGCAAAGTGAATGTAATAGCACAGGAATGCTGTCAACTTTATTGGCATCCAAGTAAAGTAATAACGTGTACTCGAAGAGGTTATTATTAACGACTGTAAAATAGATGTATGCCAGGGGAGTCAATATAATGGTCATCCAAAGTGAAGACCACGTAGCATAAAATGAAAGTATTCAAGTTAAGTATTGCTACCTTTAAAAATGTATTACTAAAGTAATTGAATACTCCCCACTGAAGTAGCAGTAACGGTACAACCTCTATGGGTACAACCTGAAATGTCCCTACGGAGAACTTTATTTTGAAAAGCTGACCAGATATGGTTTTATTTCAGAGGGACTTGACAATGGTGGAGCCCGGGGCAGAGCCACTGAGGAGGAGGACTCGAGCTATGAATACTTTCCAAAGACGATGTGGAGTTAAAAAACAACACAACAATTGAGGATATTCTTCTTTAAAGCGACGTAAAGCTATTTTTACTTTGTTTTTTCCCGCTTTTGCTGCACATTTTAAGCGGAGAAGTTGTTGTTTTTGTGTTTTTTTTCCATTCCTGAGTAATTTCCTTTGGGAAAAGAAGAGAGAGGGAAAGTGTATCGCTTTTGTTTGGATTTATGTAACGAAAAAAAACTTGGAAGTTAAAGTGTGGGTTTAAGAGAAATCTGGCTTTGTTCCCTGACGTTAGTGCGGATAACCTGGGAGTACTCCTGCCGCCCTCCGTGGAAAAGACACCCGGACCCACGCTATGTGCAACAAAGAAACCCTCTCAACTACTGCACAAGTTATTTAGTAACCAGCGAGCACACTCCGCTTAAAATACACGGATTCGCACAGTTCCAGGAAATGGGAATAACACCGGGATGGAAGAGGAATTATAAATGAGTCTTGTGGAAAAACAAAGAAGGATACAGAGAGAGAAATGGAGGAGGAAGGCTGTCTGGAGCCAAACAAGATACTCTCTGTTTTATCTTAACAAAGCTCAGCTCCGCGTTTAGCAGCGAAACATTTCCTGTGCCCATGCTGCGGTGGTTCTCTGTGTGAACATGAAGGTGGATGTATTGCGGTTGTTTGTGATTTTGCTGCTCGGTGGAGGCTGTGGAGGTTCGGCGGTATCATCTGATTGCAAACCATATGAAGAGCGCTCCAAAAGCGGGGGGAAGAGCCTGCCGTTCGACCGGAAAGTGGTGTGCAGCAACATGGAGCTCCATCAGGTGCTCCCCCCGGACTCCTTCCCCAACAGGACCGTCACCCTGTGAGTTTGCATCCATTTCACACAGTTAAAACACATTATTCTGCACCCTGTAACTGTTTCACACTGAACTAATGTCTGCAAGGTTTATTACTAAGGTAAAAAGGTCAGAATCAGGTTTATGACCAGGTAGGTTTGTGCTTTGGTGTAAAATGTTGAATATACAAACATATTTGGAGGTATGAGGTTGCAAAAAAGTACCAAACATATACTTATTAGAACAATTTTAAAGGTATTTATGTCCTTGTTGTATTCTTCTTTTCTCTATATGTTTTATACATTTTCAAAAGAACAGATCTGTGTTGCTTTCCTTCTCTTTGGTGTGTTAAAATCGAGAAATAAATCAACACTTCCCTCTAAACCATATTTAACTCAAAAAAGAGACAGAGGAGAAATGCATTCACAGAAAAGTAACTAAACCACTCACACTAAACAAATAATCAGACAAAGTCACCACCATAATCTTGTGTTTACTTGTAATGTGAATGAAGAAAGCATTATAAAAATCAGTAATCTAAGACCAAAACAACTTATAGTCAACAGAAAATTAATTAAATCATTACCTATGATGTAGGTTGGGCTATGAGTGAGTCAAAAACAGACAAGATTCAAATATGTTAGTGTCATATTCACAAAAGTCCATGTTAAATGTTTTTGTTGGCCATGAAACTGGCTGTTAGGTGTTCCCCAAATATGGTGTCTTCAAAAAAGTTAATGTGGTGTCACTACAGGAATTTGCACATGTATTTGTGAGTGGTCTTATTAGCTACATATGTGTATAACTAACTTCCTTATCATCTATCTCTTAAGTTAAAGTAAGGAAAACATGATTAATATGGCTTGACACATACACTCATTTGTGTCTGCTCCTTGTCAGCCATAGATCATTCTCTCACAGCTGCTGCATACTGTGATGTTGTAAATGTAAACCCTATGTAACAGTAACCGCCTGTCTTCCTGTGCTGATTCTCTCACAGGCTGGAAGATATTTAGTGCTCACACAAGACACTTATGTTCTACCTCCTAGGCATTTTAATAGAGACCAGAGCTCATTAGCTTTTGAGTTAATCCTTGCGTTTTTTTTCCACTTGGCTGAAATACACACTCGGCTGGGGTTAGATTTAGACTGTAGTACTTTTGTTGACAGCACACCTCAGTATCATGGTGTTTTAACGATGTTTGAGCTGCCAAAGCATGCACAAATGCTGCTTTCAGCCCCCCAAAATGGAGATTTCGTCCTTTTCCTGCTTTTTATATCACATTTAAAGACATTATTTGGACTTGGAGTAATTGGAATGGGCCTTTTTGTGGGATTTTCTGACCAAACTGAAGATTAATAACATTATAACTGCCCTCTACAAACCAACCAAAAAAATTCACAAATTCAAAGCTGTGCACTTGTGCTTTGTGGTGGTGAGCCATGGGAAATCTGAGAATACCAGGGCAGGGTGCAAGAGTAGAAAAGCAAATAATAGACTCCGGGGAAGGAAAGGGAGAGGATTGGCTGCTAAGTTAAGTGAGCTTGCATGTTTTCACCCGTTTACCACAAACCACATGTGTATTACTTTGAAGCACTTTTTAGAGCAACAGGTTCAAATCTGCTTTCCAGACAAAATGGTTTTCAGTATTCAATACAATCGGAGAGACTTGCTTAAGTTGGATAACCCACAAGATAAATATTGTTTCTTGTCATGATTACACCATTGTGGCATGGAAACCCAGACACGTTGATTTGCAGGAATACCATGTATCTGATGTGGAGTCTCAGCAGGGACATTATTAAACTTTAAGGGTTACATTTACAGTCATCTTATCAGTAACTGGAGCCAACATTAGCCGAGTAGGGTGGAGCTGAATAGCTGGCATCCACTCAACGAAGTGTTTAGACCTGTCAGTAAAACAGACTATACCTCTCTTTAGGACTAATGTTCCCTGTAAAACAAATTCTCTCTCTGAGTTCAGTATACTCAGTCTTTGCTTTTATAAAGAAGAGTATTAATCAGCCATTAGGAGTTTATTTCAAAGCTCGTTCCTGTTGTAATGCCTCTCTATTCAGGAGCTGACTGAAATCTGAGATTTGGCAGTTTCCCACCAACGCATAAATGCAACACACTTCACACTGTTTTAAAGAGATCTTTGAAGGTCTGCATCAAGCAAGTCTCTTTAAAATTAATAACCATACAATACTTAAATACATGGGACCATTAGTTGCCTAGACTGTAAGAACTTTTCCCATGTCTAAAATATGAAAAAAGGGATCTAATTGTTGGTAGCTCTTACATTTTATTAAATTCCCCATTACCTTCCTCTTGACAGTCTGGAATAACTTTAGTATGTCCTTTTTAGATATTTATATAGTCTGAAATATTCTGATCTCTTTTAGCAGTGACGTGCTTTAACGTAATTTAGTTGTGACACTGATGGATACGAGGTTCCACATGATTTAGCATCGAGCTAAAGCACTGTGATGTGGCCTCCAAAGAACAAGAAAGATGTAATTAGAGAGCCCAGACAGAAAGTGACTTCCAGGAATTCCTTTCTGCCTTTTCATTTAAACTTCTGGACATTTGTTTTCATTAATTGTAGGAAAACAACAGAATTGTCTTCCTCACAAATCCCTGTAGGCACGAGCAACAATGAAACGGCTTTTTATGTTGACGGCACAGTTTTTGCGTGGTAATTTATGACCTTTAAGATTGTCCCTCTCAGTAGGTGTTGTGGTCCTTTTTTACAACCCTCCACACACGCACACGCACACACCCACACACACACATTGTCTTTTGATGGAGTTGACCGTGGCTGATGCACAGCTGGTCTGAACTGGAATGATCTGAAGGTCTCAGCTGCTGTCAGAGACTTTTCTGAAGTTTGAAAATGACAGACCATTCCTTCTACTTGTTAAGCCTAAGCAAACCTCACCGTTTAGTTTTGCTCACTTAGTGTTAACGCATGAAATCCTCGCTGTGAATTCACTAAATCCGGTTTTCTCCTGGTCTTGTCTTCTTGACTGGTCTAATTTTAAACTCAGAGAAATGTGTCGCTACGAACATCCCTACAACAGACTGCTCAAATGTGTTTGCTTGGTGTTGTAATTATTTTTCTTTTTTTTACTTCTACTACTCTACTACTTCATTTACATTTTAAAATCACTATACGAAAAACAAATACTGCTTCTGAACTTTACTCCTCAGTTTAGGCATCCTGGTATTTCCCTAATGTGTTGATTGGTAGCAGTATTAGGGCTGCACGATTTGGGGAAATAATCTAATTGCGATTTTTCTGACAGATATTGCGATTCGATGTGCGATTTTGTTTTTAAGCGACCCAACAGAAGTTTATTGTAAAATGCGGCCATAACTCCGGCTAGGAAGGCCGTATCAACGTTTTCCCGTCTCTAGCACCCCCACAGCCCGTGCTACGAGTGAAAGAACTAAACTTACATTAAACTTCCGTTGGGTTGCTTTAAAGTCAAGCTTCAGTTTAAGATTCATCCTGTAATAGAAACATGTGATGGAGCATTACTAACCTGACAAACCATCTAGGAAAGCTCCATTGGAAGCCATTTGGAAAGGGCAGGCACTTTCAAAAATACTTGGCAGGTGATTGGATCAATCTGTCTATCACCTTCTGGTGTGTCCCGCACCGTCGTTGCTTTTCGGCACATTTTAACACCTCCCGCGGCCGTTTCAACATGTTGAATCGGCCGCGGGAGTTGTGAAAATGGCCGACAAAGAAAGTCGGCCAAAGGAATCACTCTGATTGGCTGTTGCCTCTTTTGAATGACGAATACACACTACCACTGCCTGCTGGTAAGGACAGTTATTGCCACTCGTCGACTGAAGTCTTTGCAGTGTGTTCGTAGGCGGGCGGCGTAGCGGACGTAAAAGTCGGGAAGTAAAGGTCGGGATGCCTTTGGTGTGTAGCGGCCTTTACTCTTCAGGGGTTTGGAATCTACTGAATATACAATTTTAATCAGGCTTTATAGAGGAAGAAAAAAGAGATTTGAAGCACACTACTCTTTAGTGAACGTATTGAACCACTGCTCTCACATAATGAGTCTTACCGTGTTCTTTATTTAACAATCTGTACATGAGCACAGTTAAGTAGCTATGGTTTTACCACACGTGAATGATTGCTGGTACAACTTATCCCTTAGATAGATAACATGTAGATATTCCGTACAGCTCTGCTCTGAATTCTTCTCCGTAGAGGAAAATGAGTGAGGCATTCCCCACATTCGTGCTCTCCAAATGATACCGCATGCCAAAGTAATCCGAGAGGAAATGACACAAATGTGTTTACAGCTGGCCTGTCCTCTCATGTTAGTGTGCAGGCCTCGGCTAAAATACGACGGCTCGAACTTAACCTTTGCCTTACATGGAGTTATAAATCAGGAGCCGTCTATATGGGTGTGTATATGAGCGTTTATTTCTGTTTATCTGATTTAAGTTTCAGCCTACACACATGCGGTGCAGACGGGAACTGACTATATTTAAGCTTTCTGCACTCACCCAGCTCATATGTCTTTACAGGTCTTGTTTAGTGTAATCAGGATCCTGTTCACATGAGCACCTGGGTTGGACAGTGCAAATAAGCGCACCTGGTTTAGCTTCTACAGAGCAGCACAGGATTATTGTCAGGAAGAAAGCAGGGATTTCCTCTCTTGTGCAGGGAAAAGCGTGCACAATGTGATGACCCTAACCCTAAGTATACGGTCCTGTTTCTCAGCCAACTGGCATTTAGGGTTACATGTTGTTCCCACCTGGTTCTCCTTTTGGATTTCAGATCTTAAGACGCAACGGTTAGGAATGCATGATCATTCCTTTCGTCAATCATCTCCTCCTGTGGTTGTTTGCTTCACCATTAAAAGCCACTACGTCAATCGGGGAGTCCTTGGTGCTTTGTGTAACTAGACGCCAGCGGTCATACCTGTCCTCAGAGGATTTGTTTTAGTTTTTTGCATTGCCCTAAAGAAATGTTCTTGTATTTTCGTAGTAGTGGCCGCACATTTAGTCAGTCCACACACAGCCTTACATTTGGCAGACTTGTGGAGATTTGACTTTGCCAGGTCGAGTCAAGACTCATATAATCCCGGACAAACATTTTGAGTTTAGTGCGTAGACATGAGGTAAGGCTGTGTAATGCCTCCTCGCCTGACTGTGTTAAGTCTGCTTTTATCCTGCTGTTTGCATGGTGGATCATTGTTCTATTCAGCCAGAGTGTGCTCTATTGGCTCGGTTGAATGTTGAAAGAGGATATTGCCAAGCCTACAGGAATGAAGGGGCAATAACAGCTTGTATGACGGGTTAACTTTTTTACATTGCAAATGAATCTCTTTAAAGAAGTTAATATTAGCTTTTTTACATGGAATCCACTACAGAGTTACTACCCGTTGGTGCACATTCTCAAACTAAATCCAAATACCGCAGCAACATCTTTGGATTATTAATGGAACAAGAAAGTGTTGGATAACCACAGGAATGACTTTGGCAAGTTGCAGCACCTCAGCCAGTGGACTCTTTTTCCACCTGAACTGAGGCCCACTTTTCCATCCACCACATTCAGAGGAGGTCACTCTAGAAAGGATTTTATGAGCTCAATCTGAAACTTATTTGAAAACCTGTTGAAGGGTTACAGCTCTCCGCTTGGGAGTTCTTTGTCTAAAAGCCTCCCTAAGCATAAAGAAAGTGTTGAGAGAGCACCAGTTGGATTTGTCTCTAAAGTGCTGTGCGCCTGTGAGGGGTTGGTGTTATGGCTGGCCATTTTTCCTCCTACTTAGTGTTTTTTCTGAAGTGAAAAAGAAACATATTTACTCATTGGAAGGAAAGATGAGATTCAGGCCAAAGGCTTTAATATGTCTCTATTACTCAGAGTAAATATTTGGGTTTTTGGACACAGCTTTACAATAAATGTCGTTGGGATTTATAGCTTCTGTATCAGGAGACAGGAAGTGAGGTTTGGTAGGATCCCCTTCCAGCTTGTTCATGGCCGGTGCTTTAGCAGGTCTTATCTATGCATCAAGATAAGAGACTCCCCTCCTCCAGGGTTCGAGGCCTAGCCTGAAGAAATTCCTTTGACAGTTCTTCATTTTGAGACTTCAGGCTGACGTCCAGAGACAGTGTAAGGAAGCAGACGGCTGGATACACGTCCTGAGGGCGGGGTCGAGTTGTTAAATGACCGCAATCTACACCGTTTTGACACTTTGTTATGTATATTGCTTGTATAGTCGGCTTCAATATTTCTTTCTGTGAAAAACTCAATTGTGCAATTCCTGCCAAGCAACTTATTGAGGTCACACTCCTGTCATGAGGAAGAGGGAGGGACAACAGCTAGTGTGGGAGGGAGGGGGGAGCCGGAAAGAAGGAGAGCTCATGACTCTCTGGAGAACTTTCTGTCAAAGCTATATTTTGACGACCTGTAGATTCACAATGCTTGAAATGTGTATTTATGCTGCCAGACTCCCATCCATTCCATGTTGTTTAAAGATCATAATGTGTTCTGTAAACCTAATTATATAACTTTCCTTGAGGATTAAAAGTCTGTGTGTGCTGTTTGTAACCTCCTATAACGTACAGTCACTTTAGGTAAAGGCTTATTTTTCACCAAGTTGTTGTAATGTAGCTGTTTTCTTGCCCCCTTTGTACCTCTGAAAATGGGCTTACGGTGTCGTATAAAAAGAGGGATTGTCAGGCCCACACTAAAGATTACAGATATGATGCAAAGGGGGCTATCTGCCTCAGGTCATTTCTATTTTGCGGCTCTTGATCTCTTTCAGATCCTTAAACTGTAGGTTTGCAATGTAATTATACTGCAGTATAATTTCATCGTTAAGTTTTCTGAGCATAAAGGGTCACAATGTTAATTTGTCTTGTAAATCAGTTGCCAACACTCATTATAAGCTTCCCTGAACTGCAGTTTATGTTGTGTGAGATGTTTCCGTGCTCTCCTTATATTATGTGGATTGAGTGCCACATTCCTTATTTTTCACACAGGCCTCCTGGTAAAAGCATCCCATTGGTATGCTAACTATTCTTCAATATAAATGAGACTCCTGTAACCTTAATCTTGGGAGGCCCACCGTCTCTGCCTATATCATCAGATCATGTGTACACAGGCAGGGGTAGAATTTGCAGCCTTGTACATCGCCCGTGTTTTTAACATCTGCCATTTCAGCATTGAGGAAGCCTGCAGAGCACCGGGCGGGGAAACACAGGAACCGTTTGTGTGCACACTCTCTCAGAGGGACAACGAGCGCAAGCTGCAAATCTCCAATGAGTCTGTGCTGTCCAACCCTGTAATAAAAAAAACCCTCAACACCCCGTAATGACTCCAATATGGCCCCGGGTTGTGGGTGCAGCTAGCATGTATGTCACCTACCACATCCCGAGTCCCAGCTGGCCAGAAACATACGCTAACCACAAGTCGCTGCTCTGGGTTTCTGCAGGGACGTAACAGGGCTATTGATTCTCCAAATCCTCTGGGAGTAGTTTGTGGAGAAAGCCGGCAACTCTCGGGAAACTCGGGCACAGAAAGTGGAGCTTTTACTTTGCAGCTTGGTATGCAGCAAATCAGTTTGTGCTGAATAAACCGGATCATAAAATCTAGGTTTATTACCCAGGAAGAAAGCAATCAAGAATTCACACTTGTACTTGATGTTTTGCAGTGATAACGATTAAAACAATGACTTATTTTGTTCTAGAACAGGATGTGTACTTGTTGCATGTTTTGAAGGGGTGTGGAATATTACCTCAGGTTGCCTCTTATTTAGCAAGTAACAGGCGGATACACAAATTACCGCACAGTTCAAATGTTTTGAATAATAATACAGTGTTATTTTGCAAACAGAAATGACACCTAAGCCTTTATTCATTTGGAACCGCTGTGGAAAGTTGAAATCAATATGTCCTTGAAAGAAATGACATGCATGTGTTTGGGGTGGGGCCAAATATATGATACAAAAGACAACAGAAATGACGTAATACCTTGAGAACTTCATTCACATGTATTGTTTGATCTTCTTTGAGTTTAAACATATTTTTCTTTCCCCAGAATTCTGAACAACAACAAGATTCAAGAACTCCGAAATGGATCCTTCTTTGGATTGTCTACATTGGAGAAATTGTAAGTATAAAAACCATAAATGTGTTGTTTTCTAGTTTGTGGTACCTCAGCTTTTGACATTGTTGACTTAGGATTTAGTCAAATAATAGCCGTAGCTTTAATAAGTGATGTTTTCAATCGCTCACAGTCACAGCAGATATTAAGGTTGAAGTCAAGCTCGGGCTTGTGGAGCAGGAGGTTTATAAAACACACAGTGGCCTCATGCCAGTGGAACATGCAGGTCATAGAGAATGAGAAGGCACTGCACTTAGCCTCGGTGAAGACTATCAGTGTATGGAGGAAGATTGGAGATGGAACTAGAAAAGGCTAATTATAGGAGCAGCCCCGAGTGATGGCTGTTGTCTGCCTGGTGACACACTATCAATACACAGCTGCTTGTTATTCTGGGGACGGGGACACATATAGGACACCCTAAGATACATGTATACTAGTCTTCTAACACTGGGTGTAAAGTATCAGGGCCTCATTTCAGAATAAATATCCTTCCAATTCTTAACTCAAGTTCCCAAAAGGACTGTCTTCCTATTACAGATACTATTTCTAAAATCATGGTTGTGTCATATTCTATGTCAGACTCCCTATCTTAAATGTATCCTGAGTATGACTTTAAATTAGTTCTGTCTTTCTTGCATCTCTGTTTAAAATGTACAAATAAGCAACTTTAGAGGAGCAAGCCATGATCAGAATACGTTATTTATTCTCGGGGGTAAAATAAGGTTTCATGACAGTTGCTCAAATTAAAAAAATTAGCTAAAAAAATAAAATGTCAAAAATAAAAATGTATATAAACATGCGATATTAGTAGTATTTGCAATAAAAATGGCCACAAAATAAAATGGATACCAATTTCTACATTATCTACAGCTCTCGCCTAGCTAGCTAGCTTGCTTGCTAACATGGATGAAAACATTTGCTAAATTCCTGTACTAAGATACCATTTTTTTTGTAAACTGCAGTTAGGAGACATGTTTCTGTTATACCAAATTCCCAAGTGTCATTCCAAACATGAGATAAGACTTCAGACTTCCAGACCACTGTAATATATCTGGAAGGAAAACCTTTTATTTTTCTAGATAAAGACTTTTATTAGCATAGTCCTTTCTGTCCCTTGAACAGCGGAAAGCTGTCCTCCATGTCATGTGACCCTGTTTTTCGGAGATAGGAATGTCATTACTGGTGTTTCCTTCCTATAGAGATCTCATGAAAATGGCTGTGGACCTGCACATATGGGCTGTGTGTGATTTATCACTGTGGAATGGCTTCATGCAGATAAAATAACCAGACCATTAATGGCCCTGCTTTTACCCAAGGCTACACTAACACATGACTGCATTGATATGGAATTCTAAGAGCATGTTCCCCCCTGTTCTACTCTCTATGGTTGAAAAGACCTGAAATATACAACGGTATGAGATGATATCAGCCACATTTAGCCTTGTTGTATCATTTCAGAAAAAAAGATTTAGGTTTAAATATGCTCCCAATCATCGTATTTGCAAATTTAGTTAATCACCGATTTATTTTCTTCTTGACATAACGTCCTGTTTTTCTGGACCAAACTCTTTTTATATGGTTGTCTTCATTTAATTACATTTGAATGACTCCTGTTTAATAATCCATCCATCTGCATAGCTTGTTTATATATTTGCTGCAGACAATCCCCCACTGAATCCAATGTTTTTAGAGCTCAGACCGACTAGATTAACATGAGGCTGTGTGTTCGTGTCAGGAAAAAAACCCCGCTTTGATCCCTCTCCCCTCAGTAAGCCCTTCAGGCACCTATGTGTGTTCTTTCTGTGAATGGCTAGTGGATTTGGTTGTAAACTCGGCCGTTGCATCATTCCACAGACAAGTTTACCTCCAAAGAGCAGCTTCCTTTGTGTCAGAGACCCCCGCCCTCAGCCAATGAGGCGAGATCACTTGATGGCTGTCCGGCTTTTGTCATTGTAATGAAGCCAAGCCGAGGCCAGAGGTGCCAGCAGTACGAATCCCAAACACACTGAAACTTCTCCCTCCCTCCCTCCTCTATATCTTGCCTCCCACCCCTTCTTCCTCCAGCTTTCCCCCCCTCCTTATTCCACAAAGAAACTCTCCCTCATTTGGCCCTCCTGTATGCAGCCGGCTTTGAGTCCAGAGAGGGGAGAGAATTGATTTTGCCTCTGCGTGAAATTGCAAAGTAACTGTGGAGACCGCTGTGTTTTGTCGGGGGCCAAAAGGTGCCCCTGCTTGGAAATAAGCCACACAGAATCCCCATTATTACTCTGCTCATAGAAATAGCAGCCAGACTAGGCGACCGTCACATGCTAATTCCCCTCTAAATCCGCTGCTGTGGAGGAATGCTCATTGTGGAAAACCGAGCAGGAGAACGGCTCCAGTGTGCCCTGTTTCCTGAAGAGTTGTTTATTCATGACTTGTGGAAGGAAGTATGGTAGCAAGTTGCGCATAAATATAAAGATAGTTTGAAATGGATACTGCAATTCTGCTTTTAGTTAGTTCACATCTGTAGAGAGGACACTGTTAACAACGCTTGACTTGTTCAATCAGTGTTAATAAAGCAAGACTGTGTTTAAAATGCAATATTATTTAAACAAATGACAATTGAAGTCATATGTAATACAGTTTTAAAGAATAGGAACCAGGTTGAAAGTCATTATTTAATCAATCTTTGAGTGATGGGAGAACTGGTGTGTTGTTTTAAAGCTGTTAACATTTGACTATATTAAGTTATAATATATTTAAAGGCATGAAAGTAAATATTTTGACATGTTATTCAAATAACGCCCATTTGGAAATGTGCTTTGATTGTGTGGTGAGTTGGTACAGTAGACTGGGAGAGTTTATTTTTCTATATATATATATAATTGTTAACCTATAACCATCTGCCACTTTTTGCAACTGGAAACCTCCATAGGTTCTCCATAACCCTCCACCAGAAATGATGCCAAAACAAACATAATGCCCATTCATCTTCACTCCTGAAAAGCTCCTTTGAAAGATTGCTTGTGTGCCTGTAGAAATGTGAGCAGCTGTTCCTTAGGTTGAGGAATATTTCTGAAACATTCTGCCAGCTATTTCACTTTGAGCCCGCTGATAAAACCTGGCTGAAATGTTTCCCTGGCCATAGATTTCAAAAGGTGCCAGGTCATGTGTGGTCATGTGTCTCTGGAGTCTCTACTTCTGTTATGATGATTAGGCACAGACTGGTTTGCTCTAACTCCACATGTTTCATCCACAAGTGTTTCAATATCAGAGCTGCAGTGTTTGTGGCTAGTTTGACTGTATGTGAAGACCACCTGCCGGTTTCACTGTGTATCTTTGTGTTTTATTTGAAGTACAGGCAACAGATAAACATTAAGTACACAGTAGTATGATGAGATGACAATACCGGCCCATACAAAAAATGAAATAATTATAATATGACAAAACAGATAGGATGCCTTCAACATTTCGTATAAAAGAACAAACACACACAAGATATGCAGATACATATTTCTTCTTTAGATCTAACTTTGGTCCCATTTCTTGAATGAATTGTGGCGATATTTTTTCAAAAATAAATTGGCTTTCGCAATACATTTTTTACAAAGATTATATTAAGATATCTTTTGATTTAGCTTTAAAAATAAGCATTTTACCAAACAGAAAAAGTATATTTATAAAGTGTGACGTATTCACATGTCCTTCTTGTTAATGGAACCTTCTAACAACACAACTTTATTTGCTTTTATTTTCCTTTATCTGTTTGTCATCTTGCAATTTACTTATTTATCTAAATAGTTATCACCGGAATAAGCCGTATTTAATTTCATCTTAATGTACAATATTTAATTATACATTATTCATTTCTACAATGTAGCTTACAGTGGGGCAAAAAAGTATTTAGTCAGCCACCAATTGTGCAAGTTGTCCCACTTAAGAAGATGAGAGCGGTCTGTAATTTTCATCCTAGGTATACCTCAACTATGAGAGATAAAATGAGAAAAAAAAAATCCAGAAAATCACATTGTCTGATTTTTAAAGAATCTACCGTATTTGCAAATTATGGTGGAAAATAAGTATTTGATCACCTACAAACAAACAAGATTTCTGGCTCTCACAGACCTGTAACTTCTTCTTTAAGAGCTTCCTCTGTCCTCCACTTGTTAACTGTATTAATGGCACCTGTTTGAACTCGTTATCAGTATAAAAGACACCTTTCCACAACCTCAAACAGTCACACTCCAAACTCCATATGGCCAAGACCAAAGAGCTGTCAAAGGACACCAGAAACAAAATTATAGACCTGCACCAGGCTGGGAAGACTGAATCTGCAATAGGTAAGCAGCTTGGTGTGAAGAAATCAACTGTGGGAGCAATTATTAGAAAATGGAAGACATACAAGACCACTGATAATCTCCCTCGATCTGGGGCTCCACGCAAGATCTCACCCCGTGGGGTCAAAATGATCACAAGAACAGGTGAGCAAAAATCCCAGAACCACACGGGGGGACCTAGTCAATGACCTGCAGAGAGCTGGGACCAAAGTAACAAAGGCTACCATCAGTAACACACTACGCCGCCAGGGACTCAAATCCTGCAGTGCCAGACGTGTCCCCCTGCTTAAGCCAGTAC